ATTTATATTTATTAATGATACAAGCATTAAAGTAATAGGAGTAAGGGTAAGTATTGAATAAATAACATGGAAGATGTAATAACCAGAAGTGCTATCATAAAAAATAAATGGATAATTAAGATTAATAATCAAAAGTAATTAATAGCATGATAATAAAATATAAATTGATCAATTATAAACTAGATTTTGATTTAATTATTATCTTAATGGACGGGTAACCCACAGGTACCCATGGGTTACCCATAATTTTGAGGACCGGGTTAGGATATTAAGTTTTAGATCCTGGGCAAGGGTAGGGTTTAAATAAGTCAAGCTCTTATATCAAGGGTAGGGTAAGGATATGCTTACTACCCGGGCCTACCCTGTCTATGCGGAGCCCTAATTAACATACTAGCCTTATACTACTTATTAAACTCCTATTAATTTCTAACTTTTAACAAATACTGCTTTTTTTATAAATCTATTTTCTTATTATCAAAATATAATAAAGCTTTCTCTTTTTTCTTTTTTTCAGAAATTTGCAAAAACTAATATCCATTTGCCATACCAGTTTTTAAAATTATCCATTTCTAGCTTTCTGTTACTAGGTTCAGCTCTTGAAAATCCCTAACTCTGCTATAAAAATATAACCTATTGTTGTCTAAATTCTTCTCCAAATTCATAACCATTTTTTTTAAAATAAATTACAAACAATTCCTTCTTATTCTTACATTCACTAACTAATTTGGTAACCAAATCTTGTTTTGAATGAACATCAAAAACACCCATCTCTTGACAAAAAAATTTTAATATTTCAAAAAATAAATAGTTAAAATTTGCTTCAAAATTAATTTAAGCATGTGATAGTTTGGCATTATTATTTTACTATGCTGCATTATTCTCTTTACCTATGGAACCTTTATTCCATTCCAAATTATTAGTTATACTGTAAAAAAGATAGCAATACAATTTTTAATAATGCTCAAGTTAACCAAAGTTAAGGTCAGATTTACTGAAAAGACAAAGTTACTAATTCTTATTTTCTTAAGCTTTACTAATATACAACTTTCAATTATCTTATAATTTTCTAATTACCTCATACTTCTTTACTTATCTCATTCTTATTACAACTAATCATATAAATTAAACTCTTATCAATGATCCCTAAGGATGATGCTGAAGCTAAAAATTTAAGAGTCTCAATTTAGATTTATAAAATCTACTAAAATCTATTTATACTTGTTTATTATAAATTCTACCATAAAGCTGATCTCTAACTTTAAAAAAAAGTCAAAAAATATACTTCAAAATTTTTTAAATTTTTATAATAAAATATGACAAATTTTTAGCTTCAGCTAATTTCAGTTTTAGCTATACTAATTATTCAAATTATTATATACTTTGTTTAATAAATTAATAATTGATCAAACATGCAATCTTAATAAGAAAACTGTCTAAAGGCAGATAGATATATAACTACCAGCCACAGTAGCAGTGGCTTGTATTAGTTATAGCCACAAAGCTTATATTAACTATTGAACACATGTTGTCTAAAGCCAAATAATAATGAAGCTGAGGTCTTAAGCCAAATAGTAATAAAGCCATTATGTCTAAAGCCAGATAGTGATTTGAGCTAAGCTACAAAAAACCTAAATCATCTAAAGTTAGAAAGTGATAAAGTAATTATATCTAAAGCCAGATAACAATATAAACTAAACTACAAAAAAATTTAGATTATATAAAACTGAGTAGTAATGTATGTTTTTAAAGCCAAGTAGTAATAAGATTATTATGCCTAAAGTTAGGTAGTAATGAAGCCATTATACCTAAAGCTAAGTAGTAATATAAGTTTTTAATGCTAGTTAGTGATAATGCTATACTAATTATAATAGTATAACAAAAAGTTTTTATTTTACCATTACAAAAAACTTTTAATTCAAAAATAAAAATTTTATACTATTAGGTTAAGGTTAATGCTTTTTTTATTTTGTTATTAAGTTAGAATTTAAGAGTGCTACTAATATTAAAATTTTATAAGAAATTTTTTTAATTAGTGCAATTTTATATACTAAATTAAATTTAAATTATAGATAATTTTTTATGTTATTTTAATTTTTTATATTTCTATAAAGCCAAAATAGCATTAAAACTAATTTTAAAAATCTTAATCATTTTATTTAACTATAAAATCTTATTATTTTTGTATATAAAATACTTTAAAATTTATATATTTATAATTATCTTTTTTATTTCATAATAACTTTAACACATTGTATATTTAATCTATACTCTTATAATATGCTTTTATAAAATGTATTTCAACTTTCTATTAACATTTTAGTTTTAAGGTTTACAAATATTAGGCATATACTATTAAAAATAATGTTTTTATTTATATTTAGCATTATGTTTTAATAGTGTCCATGCCTGGCATATGCAAAACCTTATTCAGTTTATATTGAAAGAACTGTTTAGTAAAATAAATTTTTTAACTCTATGTTAATAAAAAAATAAAAAATTTGTTATATTGAATAGCATTATTCAAATGTTATTTAATATACTATTTAACTCTTTTATATAGCTTCATGAACATTTATGTTCATAAAATTATATGATAAGATGAATGGCTAAATAGAATATTAATTACATTTAAATAATGTTATTTAATATGTTAAATTTTATATTTTTTACAAGTATTATTTATTTTTTTTTTTTTTAAATATTAAGATGAGTACTTGTGACTCAGGATTTTATTGATAGTACATTCAGCTAATGGTTGCATTACAA